TACCCTGTTTCCCTCAGGCTGGAGATATCAAAAGGATTAAAAAAACAACAAACCTGGGGTGAAGAAAGAGATCTCCAGTAAAAGCCAGACAGTGGAATCCTGAGTTTGGGCACTTTCTATGTCTGAGATGTATTCTATTTGGATTTAACAAGACAATTGGGCTTTATTAAATGTAAATTGTTTGCAACAACAAAAAACCCCTCTCCAAACCCGAAGCGTTATTTGGTGAAACCAGGTTTGCCTCCAGCAGGGCAGCGGGCCCTTGTTTGGGATGGAGAGAACGCCCCCAGTCCTGGCGGGAATTAAACACAGTGAGGGGCTTCTCTCTCAGAGTAGTAGTACTCTCACTGCGAAGGCGGTGCCGGAGGGTGGGCCCAGAGCCGGGGGCACCCGGCTAACTTGTTTCTTTTTTCGCAAAACAAAAGCTGGGACCGCAAGCAATTTTCTCCTGTTTGGTCCGACATCTCCAGGGGTGACGTTGTCTTCGAAATACACTTCTCTAGCAATATCATTGTTAACTAAAGTCCACTAAGGGCTCACTCTGTCCGGCCTTTGAGATGAAAGAATAAATTTCTCTCTCTATTCCGCAGAGCCCTGTGTCTCTGGGGAATCCACGTGTGGTCACGGGCAGGGAGAACGGATGGAGGTTAGGGAAATGCCTAACCGCGGAGGGGTTAGGTGGGGGACTGGGGCGAAGGGAAGGAGGCGGACGGGCCAGTGCTCAGGCTTAGCTTCCCTGCCTGGCGGCGCGCAGTTCCCCAGGCCTGGCGCTAGATGTCCCTGCAAGTTTTCCTGTCACGTCTGAGGGCGCACAAGCTTCAGGCAAGCAGCGGGTCTGGGTAGCCCAGAGTCCAGGGAGAAAGTACCCCTCCTACCCCTGCACTACCCTCCCCCACTCCATTCACATGGCCGACCCTGGTGGGGCGCAGGATTGTAGGAGGAAGAAGGAGGAAAAACAAAAGCTGCCAGAGAGGCCCGGAAGAGACAGAGAGCGCGAGGCCGGCCTGCCTGGGATGGCAGCAAAAAGTTGCCAGTACGGAGTCGTCCTGGAGTCGCCAAATCCGCGTCTTCCCTTATAAACCGAAACCGCCAAGCCGTGGGGACCGCACTTAGCGTGAAGATAATCTGCCCGGGGTTGGCAGCCCAGGCCCTGGCCGTCCTGCTGTCCCGCCACACCCAGCGGCCCCAGTCGTCGAGCGAGCATGCGTCCCGATGCGGGCCCGCGGCTTTCTGGCCCTGTTGCCCCGGAGCCTTTCGCTCGAAAGCTGGGAGCCAGGCCCCGGTGGGCGCGCGGCTCTGCTGCAACTCCGGCTGTACCGGCGCCCCTCCTCTCCAGCAGCCTGGACAAATTTTTATTACCTTCAGTCGAAGGCCACTTCACCTCGGAGGACCCGCCGCTGCTCAGAAACAAATATTTAGTCTGGAAGCCTAACAGAAAAAAATTAGGCCTCTTTCACGTAATTTCTCCTTTCGAGCAAAAAGTGCTTTTCAGTCCACTTGGAGGAAGTCCTTCCTGCACGCTCATCTCCAGTGCATCTTAAAAATTCCTGCCAAACCACGTGGACATGTGTTCGATTCTTGTTTTGTTGAGAGTCCTGTACCTTGGTATTGGGTAGGAGGGCTTCACGACTCGGAGGCTGCATCTAAAACCCGGGACATTGTCACAGGCCGCTTCTCAGCCTCAACCTGGACATTCTGGGAGAGGTGCGCGATTTGGGCATTTCATTAATAATCACCCGCAGAACCGTGTTGATCTCACTACCCTCTATACACGCTCAATGTTTCTGAGGTAGGCCTGTAGTTAAAGAAGACATATGCAAAATGAGAAAATCAACCAAAAATGCTACCCAAAGCTTTTAAAATATAACTTAGATATTATCAGAGATAGTTTAAAATCATGAGCAAGTCCTCCATCCTCTCTGTGTGGTAGGTGTCTCGCCTCTCAAAAAGGGATAATAGAATCCGTCTCTGGAGTTGCTGTGAGCTTTACAGGAGATAATATGTGTAAAAAGCACATAATTTCAGAGTAAAAGCTACATATGTTGGTCAATATACTACTACTAGTAGGTGTAGAATCGAAATAAAGAGACATTAAATATTGTAATGGAATGTTCACTGTCTCCCACGAAACATTGTCTGCTAACCTCAGTGTAGTGAAAAATTATAGATATCTTTTACTGTCAGTAGTTTCCATGACATGGTCTTGAATATACTTTTCATAACAAACATGCTAGAATACGAAATATTGGCGTTATTTAAAAGGTGCAAAATAGTTTTCAAAACCACTAATGAATGAAGGTGTCGCCGAGAAATGCTGTTTTCCCTTTTCAACAGACTGAGGTCCAGTTTAGCGCAGGCTTTGGGACCAAAGGCGGGGGGGGTCTCAGAGGAAGGCAGGAAGTGGGAGACCTACTGGCTAGGAGAAAGGGGTCGCCGTCTGCGCTCCAGCCCCAGCGGCGGCTTCTGCGAGTGAAAGCTGCTCACAGCAGCCGAAACCGCTAGGAAAACAGACGGGGGCGCCAAACGACAGCAATAAAGGCATCTGCGACTTCCGCTCAGGTCGCGCCTACGCCCGATCCCACCTCCCGCCAGGGCCTTCGCCCCCCCCCAGACCGGATCCTGGACCACGGTGTCCCATTCAGTCCCCAAAGCAAGCGGGACTCGGGGGGTACCCTTCCCAGGTTCCTGGGACAGCGATTCCCCTTCGCTGGGCGCGCCCTGCCGGGAGTGGTGGAGCTGGGCTCCCCGACTGTGGAGCAGGGAGGGAGAGGTGGGGGCATCCACAGAGCTGAGCTCTGACCGCGTTAATGGCCGGAAAGCGCGAGGAAGGCTCATAGTGCTCGCAGTCGGGTGGCCTCTGGAGCAGGGGCAGAGGTGGACGCCAGGTCAAGTCCTCCTCCGTATTCCTGACACCCACTCCGCGTGCCCCCTCTCACCTCCCCAGCCACTGCGTGCTTATCCAGCTTTCCATTTCTCACTTTGTGGGAAAATGCCGTTTATTACTTTAAAGAGGTGGAATTGATTTTCTAAGCAAAGCTCGCGTTGTTGAAATAAGTTGGCGCCAAGGGGAACAGGAGAGAAACTTTTGGCATTGACTATGTGTATAAATGTATATAAATACACTTCACACCTCGCCTCCCCTTGCATTCCTGACGCGCCCCCAACGGATCCAAGGTTAAAAAGAAAGCGCCAACAGAGAGATGGGCAAATAGATGCGGGTTTGCCCCTTATACACCCCGATGTGCTGGGTGTGGCGGCAGGGAGGAAAGGGGGGGCTTGGGTTGGGGTCTGGGTTGGCGCTGAGGCGGGGATGCAGGACCCGCGCCCAGCGCCCAGATTGCTAGGGTCTCTCGGCCGCTTCGGAAGCTCGCAGGCCGACCTCGGCGTCCTGTCCCTATCCTCTCTTGTCCCCGCCCGTGGCCGCGGATCTCTCCCCTTGCGCTGCTGGCAGGCGGACCCGCACAGTGCATTGGGGGTCCGGGCAGGGTGGGGCGCAAGCGCGGGAGGAGATGCACAACGGCCTTGGGTGAAGATTGATCTTCGTTAAAATGGTTGCCGCCGGCGTCATTATGACCATCAAAGTTATCGCCAAGAGGCTCAGCCGCCAAACTCAGGCCGCGAAGAGCAGCAGCAAGGCTGGTCCGCGATTCTCCACGCCGGAACTCAGCACGGGGAATACCCGGGACCACAGGTAAGGGGCTGGGGCTGGGATGGGGGAGGAGAGGAAGGAGGGAAGGAAGAAGGGCAGAGTGGGGAAGGGAGGGCATCGTGATGGTAGGGGAAGAAGGCTAAGTCTCTTCTTTCCTCCCTTGACCTCGAAATATGGCAACTTTGCCACGAATAATTCGATTTGAGGAGGGAGGGGGAAAGCTGGCAACATAAAAAGTGGATTTGGGGCAGCCCATATGGCGCTGTAAATCGCGATTGTGTTTTAAAGTTAGCTGTCGAATTTTGCTATGAAATCGTCCAGCCGAGTTCATTTCCCCCAGGGAAAATGCATAGGCGAGAAGCCTATTCATCAGCAGGATTATAAAAGTTAAAAACCCGGGACTTCAAGTTCAGAACTCACACTGCAAACTGTGTTAAAAAATCAGAGAGGACCTAATGATTTCCGTTTGGAGGCACGGGCCCAACACACCTCCCCAGCCACGTAGCACTAAAGTGCTTTCAAAACTCGACGAGATATTTCTCTCTTTCTACTGGAGTGGGAGGAGAGCAGCCAGGCTGAGGCAAAGTGGGCAGAGAGAGAACTCCGAGTCCTATTTGTTAAATAAAATACATATTTGGTTCTGAAATTCAAAAGATAAGTAATCCAGACAGGAGCGCAAGGTCTTCTCCTTACGCAACTCTCCCTACATCCTCCCCCTTGTCCCCCCCGTTACCCCCCTCCCGCTTGTAAATGTTAAAAAAAAAAAAAAAAAAAAAACCTTCCCTACGATCTACTCTGGAAAATCAAAGCATTATCTATTATTTAACACGTATCTGTGTCCGAGGAAAAATGAGGAAGGCGCTGCATGATTAGGACCTAAGGGGCAACCCAGCAAACTGAGAGCGTAATGATGCCCCTAAATGAAGGGGGAAATGTGCCGCGGCGCGCTCTATTAATCAGACTGTCAATTTCACCCCCGAGGCCAAACCCCCGGGCGAGCAGAACCGGCTCTGAGCGGGCAAAGGACCGGAGCCTTCCTCCTCACTTCTTGTCTCTTCTCGCCTCCTACCTGGATCTATTTGTCTGCTCTGAAGCCGCCTTCATTACCCACTGACAGGAGCGTGTATTTATTTGCTTATAAACGTGTTACAATAAATGATTATTCGAACGGCGTCATTCGTACCTTAATGACGAGCGAGCTCTACTTTTTGATGAATGACATCTCGGGCTCGGAAGGATGTATGGGTCATTCTGACCAGTCATTCCCTCGCTCTGGCATCCCACAATTTTTCCGCCTCCTTCCAAAAGAGATAATAATATTTAGAGGCTGTCGCTGGGGCTGAATGAGAATTAGTCCTAGGCGCAGCCCATCATTAGGACGGGACAGCCGGGCCACTGTGGCATTTTTTAGAAAGCTGAGATGATGGAAAGAATAAGAAAAGAGATGATTCTGATGGAGAGAGGGCTGCACAGCCCCACGGCCGGGAAGAGGTTCTCCAATTTGTCGGACTCGGCTGGCAATGCTGTGCTCGAGGCCCTGGAAAATTCGCAGCACCCGGCTCGCCTCAGCCCGCGCCTGCCGTCCGCCCCCCTGCACGGCGCTCTGGGAGACCTCCCTGCCAAGGGCAAATTCGAAATAGACACTTTGTTCAACCTGCAGCACTCCGGCAGCGAAAGCACCGTCTCCTCCGAAATCGCCTCCGCCGCCGAGGGCCGCAAAAAGCCGGGCCATTATTCAGAGGCGGCTGCCGAGGCGGACATGAGCAGCGACGTGGAGGTGGGCTGCTCGGCGCTGCGCTCCCCTGGCGGCCTCGGCGCCGCGCCGCTTAAGGAAAACAATGGCAAAGGTAACCGCGCCTCCCGCGCCGCGTTCTCCAGTCCCGTCCTCCCTGTTCCTCCGCGGCCCCTGACGGCTCTTCCTGGTGCCTTTGCCCCTTTCTGACCCTCCGCAAGGAAGCTGCACCAAGCTAGCTCAGGCAGGGGCGGGACGCATGCGGGACACCGTGCCCCCTGGTTCTGCTTCTTGAGCCTCCCAGCAAGGCACAGGCCTGGGGCTCCAGGCCCTCTCGCCCGCCTACCCTCGCTCTGGAGTCCCAGAAAATGTTTCTGCGCGCCGGTCTAAAAGCCGATGCGAGCCGATCGACCCCTACCCGGCCGCTGAGTAGTGCCAGGAGAAGGGTGCCCTGACAGCAGCTCTGAACTCTGCTGCATCTGAGCCTCCAAGGCCCAGTGGAGGGGACATTCTGAATAAGTCGCAGGGAGCGTCGCTTGGCGCCTCTGGGAGACTCGCTTGGGTCAGCGGGAGAAAAAGAGTTGGAAAGTAGTGTCCACCCCCTAATGGTTCCTGTTTGAGCTGTTGCCGTCTTTGACTCCCAAAATATTTTTAACCAAACTCAAAAGACTGTCAAAGGTTGGAGGCCGTACAGAAAGCTGCCCTGCTGTCTCCAGACCATGGCAAATCCAGAACTTCCCAAACTACGCCTAGATATAGACATTTTCCCTTGGCCAAATTTCCCCGAGTTGAATTTCCAATTATTGAAAGAAAAAAAACCCTCCCTAATTGAGTTCCTATTATTTGGTTATGAAGGTCTCCCCAAACTTTATTGATTCCATTAACGGCAGCAATTTGTAAGCATGACAGACCCCATCAATTCAGGCAGCGCCTCGCCTTCCTCTCACGGTTTCCCCCATCCGCGCGAAGCCCCAGCGCGAGGATCTTGGCCCAACAGTGACTCATGCTCTGTCGGCCGTTTGTTTGCCAGGGTACGTGGAGAGCGGCTCGGCCGGGGGTACCACGACGTCTGCGTCGGGGTCCGGCCTCGGCAGCCTGCATGGAGGCGGTGGCGGCGGCGGCGGGAGCGCGGCCCTGGGCGGCTCTGGCTCTGGCGCCGATCAGGTGCGGCGCTACCGCACGGCGTTCACCCGCGAGCAGATCGCGCGCCTGGAGAAGGAGTTCTACCGGGAGAACTATGTGTCGCGGCCCCGCCGGTGCGAGTTGGCCGCTGCGCTCAACCTGCCCGAAACTACCATCAAGGTATTGATTCCAGCGCGCGCCTGTTCTAGCCTCCCCGGAAATGTCTGGGTTGATTTTTGTTTCTCCTGCCTCCTTTCTGGGTGGCTAGATTTAGCTGACGGCCTGGAAACCCGTGGGGGAGAGTCACCACAGGAATAGGCATATTTATTTCTCAGCTCCGAAATGTTGGCCGGCCTGGCTGACTTGGGAAGGCCCCGGAATCGCGGAGGCGATGCCGCAAACGCGCGCCGCTGCTAGATTTTGCCCAGCACCTGCCCAGGTGCCCTCGCACAGGTCCATGGCCCTCCTTTCCCCTCGGCGGCAAAGCCGGCTGGGCTTTGTTCCTCTGGCACGAACCAGAAGTGAAACTTTTCATTTGCTCTTGATCTTGGAGATTTATTTTCACATAAATCACTACAAAACGGAGAAAAGGATACTCTATTTTAAAAATCGATTGGGTTGAGAAAGTAGTTTCTTAAACATTTTTCTCCTGGGTAACGGGAAAAAAGCAACCTGGGGGGGGGGGAGAAACGCAACGAAATTGTCCTTATTTACCTATCTTTAGGTGATTAATTTTATTATACGTCCGGGAGAGATAACCGAGAGGGTGGGCGACTTGGTGAGCATTTTACGGAGGACCCGATACTCTAGAAAAAGAAAAGAGGAAACTCCACGCGATAGGGGAGGGGTGTGGAAGTCTCCCTTCGGTTTGGTCAGGCTTTCTGTAATTTAGAGTGGTGACGAATGATGTCTTCATTAGATACTGTGTTGGGAGGGGTTGAAAAGTCCCCTTCTCAGTTTAAGAGGATGTTGCTCCCGCCACTCATTTGAGGCAAACGATTCCAACAAAATCATCCCTCAATATCAAAATCGGACCCGTGCCCCTCAAGACAGGTCCTCGCATCTCAGAGGACTCAAGACCTCGCGCGGCGACCTTTTAGAAAAGCTGCCGCAGCAGCCTCTCTTAAAGGCGGCCTAGGATCCCCGCGCAAATCCTGGGATTTCCAGACGGATGCTCAGGGAGGCCGGGCACCGGTGAGTGGCGGGAAGCAAAGGAAAGGTTAGGTTGGGACAAGAAAACGCAGCAAAAAGTAAGGGAGCAGAAGCCCGAGGAGCTGCAGCGGTCAGACATAGAGAAGACTCTTCTCGCAGGGAAGGGTGTGCCCACGGCGGTCCACACTGCTGCCCACACTATCCCAGCTGGGAGAGCAAAGGGGACTCCGGGCTGGGCCCGGGCGGAGGGGAGGAGGCCAGGCCACTCGGAGGTCCGGGAGGGGCGTGGCTGGGGTCACGAGGCGATCCCTAACTCGGGCCGCGGCGCGGCTCTCCCCGCAGGTGTGGTTCCAGAACCGGCGCATGAAGGACAAGCGGCAGCGCCTGGCCATGTCGTGGCCGCACCCGGCCGACCCCAGCTTCTACACCTACATGATGACGCACGCGGCCGCCACCGGAAGCCTGCCCTACCCCTTCCACTCGCACGTGCCGCTGCACTACTACCCGCACGTGGGCGTCACGGCTGCGGCCGCAGCGGCCGCGGCCTCCGGCGCAGCGGCCGCGGCGTCGTCGCCCTTCGCCACTTCCATCCGCCCGCTGGACACCTTCCGTGCCCTCTCGCACCCCTACTCGCGGCCCGAGCTGCTGTGCAGCTTCCGCCACCCGGGCCTCTACCAGACGCCCGCGGCCGCCGCGGGGCTCAACAGCGCGGCCTCGG